TGCACTTCTGTTTCGCTGTCTTCGCGTTGAGACTGTCGTTGAGTTTGAGGAGCAGTTGTTTCGCCACATCTTCTTCGCCGGCGCTCAACGTCTTAATCGCCTCCTCATAGATGGCCAGAAGTCCCTCCTCTTGAGCCTCGCGTGTGATCACTAGAGTCTGTGTCACGTCTTCGTCGGACGAGTCCGCCGACTCGTTCAACGCCTTGATTTTAATCATTGTCTTCGAGTCATCGGTGGTATCACTCAAAGAGATTTCTTGTCATTTCAATCGTAAACACAAAACAAACAAAAACTTTCAAAACCAAACACTCGAGTCGTTCACAACTATTGTGTCATAAAATTACATAACTTTCAAAGAGTTTTATATTTAATTTAGTGATCACTTCACTAGTAGTTTAAAACTACAACTAAACCATAATGTCATAACAACGCCAACTAAATTAACTTCATGCTAATTGAATAATATTACTAGATGAGCATTTTATACATGCTCAATTATCAAAAAACTATTACAAACTCCACTCCAACCAACACATGCCCCGCCACCCACTGTAACGTTGTTTGTGAACACTATGAATGGCAAAAGCGGTCGACAGATGTGGTGGCAATCGTTGGGCAAAACACAACTCCAATGTATTGTCGATTGACTTCCCTTTCCGTTGAAGTGTTTTCACGTGAATAATAATGGTATGAATCAAACCATCCGATTATCTCATCTTTTATGCCATTCTCTAACCCTATTATCTTATACGCGATGACTAAGTGTCGGACCAAATGGGTGTCCACCCGATGGCGGACACCAATTGGCCGACACTTAACTCCTATCCGATAACAAACACATGTGTTGTTATCGTTGAGCTCTCATTGCCGTACTTTTTGCCATTCATTATCATCTGATTGTCTCAATTAACACGTGTTGTCTTGTGGTTATCACCCAAACAGGTCGGACCCGCGAAACCGAAAACAACGACAGCGAAGGCGGCGCCGAAAGCGGCCGCCAAAACGCCCGCCTCTGCCGCCAAGAAGAAGCCTAAAGTTGTTTTGCCGAAGAATGTGAAGAAACTGATCACTCATCGGTCGACTCGACCTCTTTGGGCCAAAATCAGGCGAACGGCGAAGAGTAAGAAAGTGCCCGCAGAGACACTCCTGAAGAAGAAGCCCAAGTTTGTGGTGAAGAAGATCGGCGGCGAGAAGAATGGCTCCAAACGTAAGGTTTTGGTGAAGAAGGGAAAGAAATACTACCCGACAGAAGACAAGCCGAAGAAGCGCCGCACCGGACAGAAGACATTCAATTCACACAAACGAACGCTGAAAGAAGGTTTGTCTCGTTGTTGTTGTCATTTGATCCACATTTGACGCCATTTGCCTCCCCTTTGCTGACACGTGTAGGTCTAGTGCCGGGCTCTGTGCTGATCATTCTGGCCGGTCGTCATCGCGGCAAACGTGTGGTGTTTCTGAGACAGTTGTCGTCGGGTCTGCTTCTGGTGACCGGACCCTTCAAGATCAACGCCTGTCCTCTGCGGCGAATGCATCAGCAGTTTGTGATCGTGACCTCCACTCGACTGGACATCTCGGGTGTCAAAGTTCCCGATCATATCGACGACAAGTACTTCAATGTGAAGAAAGATCGGTCACCGAAGGGCAAGAAAGGCGACGGCGGAGACATCTTCGACACCAAAGCCGAGGCCTGGAAACCCGACGAGACCCGGAAGGCCGACCAAATCAATGTCGACAAACAGTTGATTCAATTGATCCGCAAAAATAAGGAGAAGAAACTGTTGTTCGCGTATTTGGGATCGTATTTCCAGTTAAGGAATCGCGTCTTTCCTCACAAATTGAAGTTCTAATTGAATTTGTCTTAAGATTTAATAAA